CAGCACCACATGCCAGCCAGCCCCGCCCCCTGGTGGGCTGAGCTGGCCACACACACACACACACACACACACACTAAATAAAATGTTGTTTTAAAAAAAAAATGCATTTGTTATACACAACATATTGTTGGATTTTTTGGGTGCACACCTATAATCCCAGCACCCAGGAGGCTGAAGCAGGAGAGTACTGCAAGTTTGGGACCAGCCTGAACCATATAGCAAGTTTAAGACCATCCAAACTACATAGTAATATATTTTCATTTTTTTTTTCTTTCCAAGTACCAGGGATTGAACTCAGGACCTTGCACTTGCCAGGCAAGTGCTTATCCTACTGAGCTATCCCCCTAGCCTCTGTGCCATCTCCCCAGCCTGGTATAGCCATTTAAAAAAAAAAAAAAAAAAAGTCTATTTAAGTAAATATCTTCTTGTGGTTTGTCTGGTTTTGCTTTTGACATAAGATCTCACTTTGTGGCTAAGGCTGGCCTTTAAAGTCACTTTCCTCCTGCTTCAGCCTCTAGAGTACTGGGGTTATAGCATGTGTTAACCTGCCCAGTTTGTTTGTTTGTTTGTTTTGTTTTGTTTTGTTTTTCTGTTTTTGTTTTGTGGCCGGCTTAGCCCGCCTTGGAGGTGAGGCTGGCATGGCATGTGGTGCGGGGATTGAACAGCAGTCCCTGCACTTGCCTAAGCTTGCCTAAGCAGGTGCCTTAGTCTGCTAAGCTATCTTCCTGGCTGGCCTGCCCAGGCTTTTTGTGTGGTTTTGTCATTCATTGTGCTAGTGTTGTGAAGTTCCCATAACCTGGGACTTAGGCAACTTGTCACCTTGCTGTATCCTCTCTGTCTCTCTGATTCTCTCTCTTTCTATCCATATATTAAAAATCTGAGAACACATGTATGTTCTGGACGGTACATCAAGATGGCTTAAAAGCCATTTCCTAAAGCTAGGCCTGGTGGTGCATGCCTGGAATCCCACTTCCTGGGAAGCTGAGGCAGGAGCATTGCCTTGAGTTCAAGACCGGCCTGGAGGACACAGCAAGACTGTCTCAAAAAAAAGAGGGGCTGGGGAAATGGTTCAGTAGAATAAGCTCTTGCCCGGCAAGTGCAAGGGCCTGAGTTCAGTCCCAAGTTCCACAACAATAACAACAACAACAAAAAGATGTAAACATGTTGTTTGGTAATATTTTCTACTTCTTCCATGCTTGACTTGTTTTTTTCATTCTTTTGATGGTGTTTTTTTAAAAAAAAAAAAAAAATTATTTATTTATTTAGTGTGTGTGTGTGTGTGGCCAGTTCAGCCCACCAGGGGGCAGGGCGGGCTGGCATGTGGTGCTGGGGATTGAACCGAGGTCCCTGTGCTTTTGCTTAGCTTAGCTTGTTCTAAGTAGGTACTTTAGACCACTGAGCCATCTCACCAGCCCTTGATGGTGGTTTTTGAATAGCAGAGTTCTTTAATTTTGGTAAAATCCAATTTACCAGGTGTTTACGATTTTATCCTAACAAATCTTTGTGTGTGAAAAGGTCACCAAGATTTTTCTCTTATGTTTATATCTCCTACAGAGGCTTTCTAATTAATTACATAATTATCTTTAGACCTTTTTTGATTCATTGTGTATTATTTTCTTTTCTTTTCTTTTTTTTTTTTTTTTTGTATTATTTTCTGTGCATGGTATGAAGTGCAGAAGTCATTTTTTTCCATGTAGTTAGCTCAGCACTACTTAGTGACCAGGTTTTCCTTTCCTCTACAAAGTTGCCTTGTCAGCTTTGTTGAAAAGCATTTGTAGGGCCAGAGAGATAGCTCAGTAGAATAAATGCCTGCCTGGGAAGTGCAGGGTCCTTAGTTCAAACCCCAGTATTGCAAAGAAAGAAAAACAACATCTGTCCCTATTTGTCTGGCCCTTGGCTGTACCTGTTTCTTTGTTCTTTGATTCTTTTTTTTTTTAATTTTATTTATTTATTTATTGTGTGTGTGTGTGTGTGCGCGTGTGTGTGGCCAGCTCAGCCCACCTAGGGGCGGGGCTGGCTGGCATGTGGTGCTGAGGGATCGAACCATGGTCCCTGTGCTTTGCTAAGCTTGTTCTAAGTAGGTGCTTTAGACCACTGAGCCATCTCACCAGCCCCTATTTT